TGGGGGATGGGGGGTTTAAACGGGGTGGTGGGGAGGGGGGGTTGTGAAAAATTGGTGGGGGAGTGGGGGGTTTGTGAAAAAGTGGTGGGGGTGTGGGGTTGTGAAATGTGGTGGTGGAGTGGGGGGTTGTGAAATTGGGGGTGGAGTGTGGGGTTTGAAAGGGGTGGTGGATGGGGGTTGGAAAGGTTTGGTGGGAGTGTGGGTTGTAAAGGTGTGGGGGTGGAGTGTGGGGTTGTGAACAATGTGGTGGTGGTGTGGGGTTGAACAATTGGTGGTGGAGTGTGGGGTTGGAACATGTGGTGGGGGGTGTGGGTTGTGAACAGGGGGGTGGGGAGTGTGGGGTTGGAAAAATTGGTGGTGGAGTGTGGGGTTGTGAAAAGGTGGTGGTGGGTGGGGGGTTTAAACGTGTGGTGGTGGGTGTGGGGTTTGAACATGTGGTGGGGAGTGGGGTTGTAAACAGTGGGGTGGTGGAGTGTGGGGTTGTAAACATGTGGTGGTGGGGTGTGGGGTTTGAAAGTGTGGGGGTGGAGTGTGGGTTTGAAAGGTGGTGGTGGAGTGGGGGGTTGTGAACAATGGGGTGGGGGGTGGGGGGTTTGTAAAAATGTGGTGGTGGAGTTGGGGTTGTAAAAGTGTGGTGGGGGAGTGTGGGGTTGTGAAAAATGTGGTGGTGGAGTGGGGGGGTTGTGAAAAATGTGGGGTGGGTGGGGGGTTGGAACATGTGGTGGGGAGTGGGGGGGTTGTGAAATGTGGTGGGGAGTGTGGGGTTTGACAGTGTGGGGTGGGGTGGGGTTGTGAAAAATGTGGTGGGGGAGGTGGGGTTGTAAAACAGTGTGGTGGTGGATTTGGGGGGTTGTGAAATGGGGTGGTGGAGTGGGGGTTTGTAAACAGTGGTGGTGGAGTGGGGGGTTGTGAACAATGGGGTGGGGGAGTGTGGGGTTTGACAGTGTGGTGGTGGAGTGGGGGGTTTTGTAACAGTGTGGTGGTGGAGTGGGGGGTTTTGTGAACAATGTGGTGTGGAGTTTTGGTTTGGGAAATGTGGTGGTGGATGGGGTTTTGTAAACATGTGGGGTGGAGGTGGGGTTGTAAAAAATGTGGTGGTGGATTGGGGGGGTTTTGGAACAGTGTGGTGGGGAGTGGGGGGTTTGGGAAAAAACGTGTGGGGGTGGAGTGTGGGGTTGTGAAAAATGGGGGGTGGAGTGGGGGGTTTGTGAACAGTGTGGTGGGGAGTGTGGGGGTTGTAAACATGTGGTGGGGAGTGGGGGGTTGGAAAAGTTGGTGGGGGAGTGGGGGGTTGTGAACAGTTGGTGGGGGTGGGGGTTTGAACATGTGGTGGTGGGTGGGGGGTTTGGGAAAAGGTGGGTGGTGGAGTGGGGGGTTTGAACAGGTGGGGTGGTGGGGGGTTGTGAACAATGGGTGGTGGGTGTGGGGTTGTGAACGTGTGGGGGGTGGGGTGTGGGTTTGAACGTTGGGGTGGAGTGTGGGGTTGTGAACGTGTGGTGGGGGGGAGTGGGGTTGTGAAATGTGGTGGTGGAGTGTGGGGTTGTGAACAGGTGTGGTGGAGTGGGGGGTTGTAAAAAGGGTGGGGGTGGGTGTGGGGTTGTGAACAGTGGGTGGTGGAGTGTGGGGTTTGAACAGGTGGTGGTGGAGTGTGGGGTTGTGAACATGGGTGGGGGAAGTGTGGGGTTGTGAAATGGTGGGGGGATGGGGGGTTGTGAACTTGGTGGGGGAGGGGGGGTTGTGAACATGTGGTGGTGGATGGGGGGTTGTGAAAGTTGGTGGTGGAGTGTGGGGTTGTGAACAGTGTGGTGGTGAGTGTGGGTTGTGAAATGGGGGGGTGGAGTGTGGGGTTGTGAACAGTGTGGTGGTGAGTGTGGGGTTGGAAATGTGGTGGGGGAGTGTGGGGTTGGGGAACCTGTGGTGGTGGAGTGGGGGGTTGTGAAAAATGTGGTGGTGGGTTTTGGGTTGTGAAAGTGTGGTGGGAGTGTGGGTTGTGAAAGTGTGGTGGTGGTGTGGGGTTGTAAACATTGTTGGTGGAGTGGGGGTTTTTGTGAACATGTGGTGGTAAAAGTGTGGGGTTGTAACGTTTGGTGGGGAGGGGGGGTTGTAAACAGGGTGGGGATGAGGTTAAAAAGTGTTAAATTTTGTTAAGTTTGGAAAAGTACAGATAACCTAAAAAACCCCTGGGAAACCTATTTACTCTTTTTTTTGTAAAATTTAAGAAATTATTACATATAACCCAAAAGTACTTTTTACCCCGGGATATGGGGGTAATTTTTACCCTAAATAACCCGGGGGGGA